GGCGAGACGGGTGGAGTAATCCGATCAATCAAATAGAAGGGCGAAACAGAAAGATTCTACGAATCGGAGGAAAAAGATTAGCAAAACGTTTCGCAGAGCTAACCGTTTGAAAAAGAGAGAAAGTTGGGCTATCAAGAGATACTTGTGCCCATCTCGTCTGATTATCACATCCGTCTTGTCTGTACGACTCTTATAACTCCGTGGTTAGTCAAGGTATCAAATAATTTGTTTTTAATATTATTCGTGATTCGGCCAACAAGAACAAAATTTTCACAAAATTTTCACAAAATTTTCACAAAATTTCCTACCGGCCTAGTGACACAATATACTATAATACTCTTTGCATTATCCACGGCCATGACCATTTGAAGAGCGTTTGAGTTGCCTGTCTATTAAATTAATGTATTACATCGAATTGACTGTGTCAGATAATTCTGCCACGACTCTTGCCACGAACCCGTCAATATTCTATTAAATGAAAGTGGACATGCTTTAGATCGAAACTCAAATATCGCTGGCTAGATATATTAACTCTGACAAGAAAATCCACCCAATGCCTGTCGGTGTGAGCTGGGGTGGTAGAATGGGCAGTCACGGTTTATGTTGTAGTAAATGATTTGTCACCCTACTGCAAATTGTATGGAATTCCGTGACATTTTGGCCAAAGTGCCCATATCTATAACATTCACTATTACGTCCTAACGCCACCGCGATGTTTACGCGACACACAATTCCTACTAGGACAGAGGATTAAAATAACTCTAAACTTTATCAAATGATAGTGTAAGATATACCGTTATTTACACATGTGAGAATTTAAAATAAATTTTATAGGCTTAATTCTAGGATGGCAGTACAATTTGGAAAGCAAAACTCTGTGATAGTAGCATCGTAGCAACACCTATAGTTCATGAAAGAACAAATTCTGTACTCTTAGGAACGTTAGATGGTACCTGTGTGTCTCTGGATCAAAATAAAGGAAATCTTCTGTGGATGTGTCACTTCAAAGATCCCATTTTCTCAGCTCCAGTAATATCTTGCAACAAGTCCATAATTTTTTGTGATGTTTCTGGAGTTTTAGCTGCTTTTGATATTGAGAATGGAAATCAAGTAAGAATAACAACATCGTCTCAATTTGTTAATGATAATATATAAAAATTAATAATTACAGATTTGGAAGATGGACATTAAAGGGAATGTATTTGCTCATCTTGTCATACAAAAAAATCGTGCCACAGCAACGGAGAACTTGGTTTTAGCTAGTAGAAATCAGAACTTGTATATATTTCGTATTGAATCACACACTGAGAGACCTAAATTGCAGAAGAAAATTGAATTTTCATCCCCGATTATCGCAACTCCATGGATTGATGATAACTTTCTTGCAGTTGCTACAATAAAAGGTGAACTCATAATTATTAATTCAGTGAATAATCATATTTTGACAAAATATCAATTTGAAAATGAAGTTTATTCATCTCCGGTTGTTCATGAAAATTTAATAACGATTGGATGCCGTGACAATAATTTGTATATTCTCTTGTGTAAATAAATGTCTTCTTATGATTAAAGTGGTGGAACCATTTTATTTTTCTATTTTACAGTCCACGCCCATTCACAACAATAACTTTCTAGTATATTTGACCAATGGGCAGTTAGGAACTTTTCTGGCGATTGTGAGTTTCGGATTCGCCTCGGACTGTAAACACAATCGTCGGGAGAGGTCTTTTCGAGTTCTCTCCGAGTGACGAACAATATTTTTTATCATTCAGTCCGCAATGACATAAAATCACTTTAGTAGTTCACAGTCATTCCAACCACTTCATCTGAATTCAGAACTAATTCAATTTCTATATTTTTAATTATGAACTATTAATTAAACTATATTTTATGAACTATAATTAATAAACTAATTAATAAACTATATAATAAATTATATATAATTACTATATAATAAATTAATAAACTATATAATTATGAACTATAATTAATTAAGAACCAGTAAGTTTCCTTCAAGATTGAAAAATCTCAACGCATCCATCAATTTTTTCTTTAATTTTTGTGTTCTCCTCCGAATGTCTAGATTCTAGACATTCGGAGGAGAACACAAAAAAGAAGGAGACTCTAGAAGATAAAGATAATTGTTTCTAGCATTCAATTTTGCTGTGTCACTTTTGATCGGAAGTGCGTGTCATTTGCTACCTATTAAATCACTTCCGTATAGTAACAGACAGGTCATGAGTGGATGTCAATACTCTAAACACTATATTCAGAGTATTTTCAAGCGGAAATAACAAATGAGTGTTATTTGTAAAAACTGTTATTTACGAAGAGAAAATAGTTAATTCTAAATTGAAAAAATAAACGTAAAACTTCTAATCAGGGAGTCCCTTTCAATTCACAAGGACTTCAAGAATTTCAACTACACTCCATTTCAATTGCTCCTTTTCCCCTTTTAATAGAATTTTAAGGGATGATTCGACGAGGAGCTCTTCAATTAGAACCTCATGTTTAAATCCGCTGTCCCTATCCCCTGAAATGGCGGGCAACTTTCCAGAGGACAATATTTCGTCAAGTCGTTGAAACTGAAGACAAAGGGAAAATAATTAACCAAATAGAAAAAAAAGAAATAAATATAAATCAGTTCACGACTGAGATCTTACACAGGTACTTTCCATAATAGTAATTCAGTCTCATGAAATAATCGTAACCATCCTAGGATCTCATCCGTTCAAATGTATGTCGTCGCGACAGAAACCGATTAAATATCCGTATTTCTAGTGAAACATTTAATGAATATTCACGACGTACTTCGACAAAAATCACACGCATTTACAACCCGATGCGTTCGCAGTTAGCAGCGAATTGCTATGTTACAAGTACTTAAAAAATTTCATGATAAATGCACACATAAATGCGTTTATTACCGAGCATGAAAATTCCCCGCATTTCAATTATCAGTAATAATTTTTTGAAATGGTAAGTGATGTGGGGGTTAGAAGAAAACTGTCTCTCACTGGTGACATATGCGGGAATAATCTAAGGGATTTCCCGATTTTCTTTCAGGCGCCAACTGCCCACGCTTTCCGACTCTTTCACTCTCTTCTCCAACCCACTAACATCTTCGCCTATTTTCAAGTATCCTATATAAACCTCCTCATCATCCCTCTTCGGCATTCATGATATCACAGAGATGCTTCCGGTTCTTCTGATTTCCAGGTCACTTGTTTTCATCTATCTTCATTTCTGTCGCGCTCTTTTATTAACAACAATCGTGTTGTATCAATTATATGTTCATTTCAATTTCAAGTGAATGGAGATCGATATTTTGGGGAAAGATGTTCTATGAATCGATATTCCAAGGACACGAAGCACAATCGATTTCAAATCGAGTTGATTTTAATGCAGTTTTTACGAGCACTTAAATATAATTGTCGTATTGTTTCGTTACTCCAGCACAAGTACCCCAGTAAAGTTGGATCTACTTGATTCAAGTCCGCGTTGGATTAATTCAAGCGAATATTCAATTGCAAATAGAATTTTTGAAAGACACATGAACGTTTAGTGCCATGAATTCGCAATTTGGTGGAATGATTGATTCACGAATCAAGTTAGGTGTTAATGAAAACGAGTTTGTTAGCAATTTCAATCAATAACATACCCGTTCAAACGACGCTTTTTCTTCATAGCATAGTTTAGTGTAATATTGAATGATTGACATAGTTTGGGGACAATCAACTTAAATAAGACTGAAGTATGGATGTCTTAACGATTAATGATGCACATTCTGCGACCTCGAATAGACAGTGAGTAGGCCTTAACTAAATTAATTATTTAATAATAACTAATTTTTAATATCAGTGTACACAAATCTTTATTTTCAATATCATTACTTATCCTTCACAATGACGAAATCCGTCAATTTTATTTTTATTAATAAAAAATACTGAAATATTTACAACTCAGGAAGGAAATGGAAACGCAATGAGACTAAAAATGTATCTGAAATATATTTACTAATCATAAGAGAATAAATTCAGCATTAGCATGTCTTGTGGAGGTACTCATGTAGTTACTGGAGGGAAGTAAATATATCTGGTAAAAGAAATCTTTTTCCTGGTGTACAGGAATATAAAGGGATAGCACGTCTAGCAAATGGATATCCGATCTGAATCAAAGAGTGGGCTCTGGATATCCGGGTAGTTATTGATAATGAGGGAATTTTCCCATTCCCTACAGTGTCGGGCTACACGTAAGAGGGAAACAGCATTAATTGTTACAACACCGAAAAATCACAGTATACAATAGAACTCTTATTGAAAGAAATTTATTTTCGATGATCACATATCTAATGAAATGTGACCGTAAGTAATAATTTCTCAGCAGATTCATATCAAGATTATAACTTGTCAACTGATTAGTATTAACTATGAACACTCATTCGGTAAATGTCTAGTAATAATTTTTAATTAGGTCAACTAACGAAAGTACATGTAGGCGTATAAAATAAAAGTACGTTATCTCGAAAATCGGGTGTTTATAACACTAATGGCATCTTTTTGTTAATAAATAATTGACGGAGGCATAATGGAAAGATCAGTTCTTATTAATCCTAAAGCCTAATGGACGAAATTCCACCACCCCCCCCCCCTTCCTCTTTAAAAAACCCCTAAAAAAGGGGTAAATGACACACGCGACCCGTTTTGCACCTTAGGCTTTTTATATTTGAACTATTATTATGCAAATATGTCAATTTACAACGATGATGGTTTTTTTTTCCTCATATAAAAAGGAGACAGGAAATCGATCTCGAAATATCTCGAAATTCTCGAAATATGTCGAATGACCGTGAGGGTAATCGACCCCTCGCCACGACGTCGTCTCTAAATCTCGAACATTTTTGATGAATGAACGATCTCGTGATATGAAATCGTGTGATTCATTTATTTGATGATTTTCAACATAGAATTTTTTAAAATTCGCTTATATCTTAATGGGTATCGAATACTTCTATTCTCACCTCTGCCATCATGACGAATAATGTCTTGTTTTCTCAACGGCGACATTGGCAGAGAAAATACAGAATAGAATACAGAATGTTTGTATTCCAGTGGAAATAGAATTCTTCAGAATCATACAAGGTTTACTCTCTGCATCCTCCTAGACCCACGAATCTTCACGCAAGCTCCACTTTATTCCGAATTATTACTAAGGAGTATTAGTAAGGAGCCCCTGATGTATGACAAAATAACTGCCCGTGTCCATTTTTAAATCAATTATTCATCGCATCGTAAATGTATGGTTTAGGTCCACCAAAAAACAAAAATCATTGAAATATTAATTTCTCTGACGAAAAATCCATTCTTGTCATCTCAGTTACCAAGAACAAGATGAAAGAAGAGAGTGAGAAACAAGAAGGAGGAAAATACATCGAAAAATAGTCCTGAGGTAAACTCTTTAAATTGGAGCCGACACACCGCCACGTCCTCGCCGTGGCCTTGGATAACGCAGAGAGCGGTGTATTAAATGTCATATCTCCTATACTAATTGTTTCCGGATAAAAAGGTGACCAGCTCAGGCATTTCATCAGACATTAATCAGGTGACGGAAACCCATCCAATCAAATATAAAACATCCAGAATGGTTTGGTGGAGCTGAACTAGACATTTACCATTTGATCTCTTTGATCCTGTTTTTAGGTGCTGCGGGTTTATTTTTAGGTAGAATTTCTTGAGCCACCCTTCCGACAATAGCTTATACGACGTGTACATGAAATGGTAGTTCTGGGGGAGTCCCACTAAACCAAATATTGACTCTTTCGATGCGTCAACAAGATCTACAGTAGAAATCTGTGATGTAGTTTAGTTCTTCTACAATCTTCATTGTATCCTCTCTCCCACATTGACTTCAGTAATGGTTAATGCTTATTGAACTAAATAAATATAAGTCACATCTTCCATTCTCTACGAAAATACTTAAAGAAACATTCCATTAATAATAAAAACCAGTCGATATTGAATAACTTATCATTCATTCTTCATAAACGGTGTCAACAAATATTAGTTCTGCAGTAATAATAGACAGGGGTAAAGAAGCGTCGATTAACTATTGGACGCCCGTCATCGTCATTTAATTCTTTGTTCATCCATGTAGAAGTATTGCAATCGTTAAATTTTACATGGAAAGAAATATTTAGTAGAAATTACGGAACTTTCAGTTTGTTTATCGATTACGGAGTTGACTCGAACAAGTTAAGTGAGGGTATCGTAATTTTTCGCAGATAATTCAGATAAAAATTACGGAACGTCACAGAAAAATCCCGTGACAGTTCCGTAAAATTTCCTACAATCACATTTCGCTCCGAAATTACGGGAAACACGTCATTTTATATTTCTTTTGTATTTCTCATTTTTTCAAAAACGAATAAACCTTTAAGGCCATGAAATGACAATTCTGTGAAAATATCAATTCAAAAGTCAGAAGGGTCGCTAACGAAAGAAAATTCGTTGTGAACTTCAATTAAGAACGCGTTTAATCAGCGCTTTCCGCTTATTGCATAGATTTTTCATTCACTTTACACTCGTGGGTTTCGACTGTAATTTTCCATATCAATTGTTGTAAAAGATATTATTTGTCTTTATTGGAAAATCGAGCGTTGGAGAGTAGGAGTACGAGAAGTTGCGTGAATTTGCACAGATTTGCATCAATGCGGTGAATCAGAAACTATTCTCATACACTAGGATGTGACTGCATGGAGTAAAAAGAGAAGAGAAAGAGAAAAGGGAGAAGAAAGTAGGGGAAACCCGTCGGAAAGTCGAGGCGCCATGAGGTCTGAACCTAGTTTACCCTGTCGTATTCTCCCCTCTCTTTTGGCATCCGCAGTCATCTCTTTCTGGCTGGCCGAATTAATTGTTACATCCCTCAAAGAATCGCACGGTAACGATGGTAAGAATATCCATGTAATTACTGTCAACTTCCCTCCAGACACGAATGAAGAGATGAGAATAAATAGTGTAAAAAAAAATAGAAAGACAGAAAATGAAAAAAATTGAGGAATCGACAGTTTCAGAGGGGAATACTCATATGCGTGGGTGAATTGAAATAAGAGTCAGGAGTTTTTATATAAAAAGCATCGCTTCCTATGATTATATTTTCGGGTTTCAAACTAAAAGCTCACAATTTTTCCCCTCGCCATAGAATATACAAACACAATCACAACTTGAATATCATAAATTACAACCCTGGCGAGGACTTATTAAATCGAAAATTACTGTGCAGTATATCGTGCTTCTCCTCGGATATAGCTCAAGCAATTCAAGTTTACTGAAAAACAGTGATATGATTAATTATGTGCAATTGATGATCGTAGCTACTTATGCTTCTTGTTTTACTCAGGTTTTTCTAATGATCATTTCCATTTTACAGCATGGGCTTTTGGCTTGCCTGATGAAAGGAGTTGGACACGGCTTATTACGTAGAGAGCTTCGAGAATGAATTTAACGAAGATGTACCATAACTGGAACAAGGTCCTCCCACGTGAAGCGGACCAACTTCTCAGTTTGTGGAATTATACGATTGTTAGATTTTTCTCCGGTTTCTTACCCTCAGCAACAATACATGTTCAATTTGCGTCTTTTATATTCACTTTTTTTTCCTCTTCCACTCCAATCCTTCAACTGCTCTGATCTAATACTATCCTTCAAATATGAGAACTTTTTTTATATTCTTAATAAATAAAATTTTAGTTTTTCAATTTTTTGTATTCAATAAAAAATGTACTGAAGAGCAAGAAATATTACGACTGGTAACCAGTTCGTAGATTCGGATTAGGATCAAATCAGACTTGATGTTGGATCAGGTACTGGTCCTACAACTTGACCAAAGTGATTGCAGGTGAACGAAATTCAAGTTCAGATCAAACTTACATCAGAATCTGATCAGAGTCGTACGGATTAGGTTGAGTAAATCGAAGACTGATCAGTTGAAACTGACCACCACTCTATCAAGTCCTGATCAAACCTCAGGCTGGTCTGACATAATGTCCACCTGGGTATTTACACACTGAAACTTTTCGTTAACCCACCATGTTGGATTGAGTCATAATTCGCCAACCAGATTAACCCAAAATCCATAATCAAATCTCACTGAATCAGGACTTGATTAGGACCTCTCCGCACTTTCTATTCGAATCGCTTTCATGCACGGAGAGAAATATTCAATGAAAATTACGTGTCTTTCCGGAACGAAATGTGGTTGTCGGAAATTTTAGGGAACTGTCACGTAATTTTTCTCTAAATTCACGGAATTTTTCTGGGGCGGTCCATAATTTTAATCTCAATTATATGTGAGAAATGACGATACCGTCACTGTAATTTTTCGACTCGATTCCGTAATCGGTAATCGAACTGAAAGTTCGGTAATTTTTACAAAATATTTGGCTCTGTGTGTGCGAAATTATATTAGATATCATTATACTAGATTCATCGGAACCAGTCATTAAAAGTTGATGGCATTTTGAAAATTATCCATGATTCCAATATAGCATGAAGCGAGGAGGTGAAAAGTGATGCCTAATTTAAAATGACGAAGAAATATCCGAATATGCATGGAGAGGATAAATGATGACGCAAAACGATAGAGGGTGGGCACAATGTGGAGGTAGATATTCCACTTAGGATGAATGCCTTTATACTGAAATGAAAGAGGATGAACGCGTTTATATGTAATCGTTAAATAGAAGTCTTGCTAGTGAAGAGGAGAGGAGTATGCAAGGGGTTAAATGGAAGAGGGAATGTGAAAACGTAGTAGAAACTCAGAAAGTCATTCTTTTTTGTGGAAATCAGTGGGTATCGCGTCGAAGAAGGGATACCTAGTGTACGGGTATAAATACAGAAAACGCGCAAGCTCCGACCATCACTTGCCCTCTGATCTCCGAACTCAAACCTACAAGTCCTTCCTCTATTTCCCTTCTTTTCCCATCAAAATAATTGCGGTAACGACAACGTGCAAGAGGTTCTCGACAGAGTTGGTGTGGATTTTTTAAATTTAGTCACTTCAACAATATATTCATTACTATATATTTGTTCAGCGAGATACATTTACTTATGTGGAAGTAGAGTAGGAGATTGATTGCTCATTTTCGAAAGAAGAATTTTCAATTGTGAAAATTTTTCAAACTCCTGGATTTTCTGGTGAGTAATCAATATAAGTTTTATTTCGAAAATATTTTGGATGGGAGTAATATTTTGTTTCATTTATTTATTTTTATTGAACAATTTTTGAGGGAACTCCGATTATGTACTTTCTTCTTTTCTTAGTGTCCTTCAGTTCTTTTTTTATTAAAAAAAAGAATAAAGTGGAAATACGGGCTATGTCTATGGCAGTGGGTGAAAAGGTGTTCAACTACTTGTTGCCTTCTGAGAATAGGTTTCACTGGGAAAGGAAAGAGCACAAGAGGGCTGTTGATTGTTTTTTTTTTAGATAGTATGAAGCCCAATAGAACCCATTCCGACTTCTGGAATTTTCTTGTTTATTTCCTCATTATGATGGAATTTTCTTTCACTTTGACATTCATATCTGCAGTCATTCGGATATCTGCAAATTTTTGCCATATTATCAATCATGCACTAACACGAATAAAACTAGATTATTATTCGACAGAATAAAATTCTATCCGCGAGTGGGTGAAACTATCAAAATGAGAAATATCCTTTTTCCCGTATTCATCACATCCCTCGCAATTATACTTCTTCAAATATTTTCTCTAGATTATTATAGATTAGGTGATGTGCACATTCATGTAATATAACATATATTAGATGATTTTTTTAATGGAATTATAATTTTGCTTCATGTCTTTGGAATTTTAAAGATTTTTTGAGAACTAGACAGAACCGAGGAAAAGTGAAATAACGGGCGATGAGGTATACCGATAATTTGTTGAATCGATTGTGGAGCTTCATCTTGTCACATTTTCCCTGGCATAAATTTTTATATCGTTAAAATAAAGATAGATGATCATTACGCTGTCTTATTATTTGCAGGGTGAGCCTCACTTGAATCAGTGAATCAGTGTCACCAGAAATTGCAGTTGATAATTATAAAGATTGTTTTGATGGAAAAAATTTCATATTTCTGAAACTTCCCGTGAAACTTTACATAACTTTTAATGCTACCGATATTCTCCAGAGCAAATGTCAGCAATGTTCTATGATTGCTGAAAACTTCTTTTAATAAATTTGTTTTTTCTCTTTGTGAAATGCTGAAATTGTCTGGCATAAGTGAAGATAATTCTCAAAATTTCACCCCCCGTAATAATTTCCGTAATAATGCTCAAATTTTCGTGATTTTATAAATTTTTGACATTTCTTGAATTTTAAAGAGGGTCTTACCCTTGTGGTCATTCGATATATTTCGATATATTTCGATATATTTCGAGATATTTCGATATATTTCGAGAAAGATTGCCATTCTCCTTTTTATACTAGGATTTCTCACAATTGCATTCGTATCAAGTTTTCCAAGGCATTCGTACAACGCAGAATCTGAATGTTGCTTTTTATTTGATTTTTTTTAATGGAAAACATTTTTCACAATAACTCCTCAATTTCAAAATGTATCGAATAGATCAAGTGATAATTTTACACAGGAATGTAACTCAACGATCCTCGCAGTACTCGACATTTCCGAACTTTTCCAACGTCCCTCACCCGCGTAGTCGAACATCAAAGCACCTCTCAGATTAAAAAAAATAGAAGTTCAGGAATATCTCCCAAATTTTGAATGGATCAATATAATAATATCGATATATATAAAAATTCCAGCTTTCATGGAAAGATTAATTGTAATTCAACATGAAAACCCCAATTTCACCGGTGTCACCTGAAATTGAATTCCAATTCGTGCAATTGAACATTTAAATGACTGAAAAATGAAAGTAACTGAGATTTCACGAAATTTTCAAGTGTACTTTAGCATAGCGTCCCTAAAAACGCAATTTACCAAAAATTGTAATGACATTTATTTTGGAAATGATGTGCTTGAGAAAAATGTCCTTTTATTATTTTCTATTAATTTTTTGTACACATTTCGAATCGTAGATTTGTCAACTGGTCTTGGTGCTTGTCAACTTTACGAGCATTGCAATATTGGCATCCCGTGGCCGTTCTTTCCCACTCTGAAATTCCATTATTCATACAACATTTTCAATTGCAACCACATGAATTGTCCCCTCAGTATATCCGCAATACCTATAGAAAAATAAAAACAATAATTAATGGGATTTTCATTCTGGAACAAATGATAGTGAAAATGTGGAGTATGCGATTCGATTTCAACGCCTACAACTTGGGCTCATATTGATAACCTCAGCAAAGTACATCCAATAACAATGTACCAATGTTGAAATTGATAGAAGGTGAACTTTCGAAGCTGGCTACATGATTGGTGGGAACAATTGAACTTGTTAGCGATGATGATGCACTTCAATTCCAATCTGTGACATATCAAATATTTCATATGATTTTATTTTCTCCGGTTGCATTGGAGAAAGAACCTTCTATCAAACACGAATTCTCTTTGGACTTTTATCAATTAATTTGAAACTGATGAAAAGTCCATTTTTTTAAACGTCAATCCCACACATATAACAGTTGAATCGTAACTAAAGCTATGAGTGAAACAATCGATTATTCTATTGAAATTTCTATCAAGGTAGAGCTTTCGAGTGGTAATTGCCAATAAATTTTCAATATAAAATATGAGGAAGGTGCAGTTTATTTCGGCATAGTGAAATCGTCCTTCGTCCTTCATTTTAAATATATTCATGAAGAAGACTGAAATTATAGTATTTTTATAGCTTTTTTGATGTGCACTGACACTTGATTGTTCGCACTATCCGGGCCACACCCACTTTTTCCTTTTTTTTATTGTATCGCACTAAAGGCTAAGAAACATTTTTTTTAAATCACATTTCCTTCGAGATGCATCTAGAAACTCTATTAATGAAAACATCTAGCAGCTATATCCTAAATAGATTTTTATGTTTTTGTATCGGAATTCCGGACGTCTATTACGTGTAAGGCTTTCAAAAAAAAAACCTAACATCTTTCAACTTTAAGATTTAAATTTAAATAGGTAATGATGGGTAATGCTGACTGTAAATAAAATTCCTAGGACTTCGTGGAATACACGATCTAAATCGATTCCGATCGTTTTTTTAAATTTCTGCTGAATTTTGAGTTCTGCAAATATGTTCAATAAAAATTATGATAAATGTCTGGAACAGGTCCACCAAAATTATTGCTAATTACCACAATTATTATTATGAAGAACAATTAGAATGAACATAAATTCCACTATAATTCAATATCTCCAACAAATTTTATCCATTTTATCCATCAAATTTTCGAATGGGTTTTACCAGAATTGCTATAATTTTTTTATATCCACCTATTGTAATAAATAAATAAAACTGGTAAATCTTTTTCATTCCACCAAGTATACCCACAAATATTATTCTATACGACAGAGTACCTATAACTTTTATCCAATAAAAATTATATCCTCCGGCTTTTATATCGATTTATTGTATACGATGGGTATTAGTTTATTTTTTTTCAATGCAATACGATTGATCAATAGTGATAAGCGGCCATTTTCAACATTTAATTTCTGATACACTAGATGTTATTCATGTCAATTAGATGAGGCAAGAAATATGGGAAAGTCATAGCTACATATAGGACAGGTCATAGAAAAAATTACAAGCAATAAAACAAGCTGCATTTAAATTGAGAAGGAGCACTAATTTTTTATAATTACGATAACATTAAGGCACTTGGGAATGATTATTTAAAAAAATATCGTTCTTCTAAGTGGAATTGAAGAATCACCCTTAGAAATATTCATCGAACATTTATCTTCAAGGTTTGAATTATCTTAAACGCTTGCAAGGTTTTAGTTCATAAAAATGGAAGAGGAACGCCTACACATTTTTCCTTATAAGGCAATAGTTAAGATAGTATAGCGCACTGCTAGAAAAATACTAGTGCAATAGTACCTTAGTTACCTTGCTCAAAGGTCAAGGGAAAAAATCAAGAATTAATTTACGAGAATGTACCTAGAGAAGGATCGACTTCTCATTTGTAATATCCGGGGTCTTAACCAAGAGACCTCACCAGCTCTCCCTCGGCCAAATTTCCGCCCCCTCTGTCCAGAAAATTGGATTCGAATCAAATTTAGTAAAAGAACAAAACAATCCGCAATTATCTTTGAAGGTGAAGAAATTCTGGAAGAACTCAAGCGGAAAATTTGTCTAGACATTCTTAAGATATTGCTAAGATATTGACAGTTAAATTTAAATTCAGCGATTCACACTTTTTATTACTTTGGATACAGGGAAAAGTGTTTTGGACGAAAGATGCCATGAGAATTAATTCTGTAGCCGAAGGATGTTGTTATTACCAGTACCTGTCAGTACTTGAAACTTTATTTGAAGATATTTAAAATATTTGGTTCATGTACTTGAGTTCTTGCAAGTGGTGCTCACCAACTAGAACAAAAGTACCGGAAAAAAGTAGAACTTTCACTAGTACTTTATGGAAAACAAATACACACTATAAGTATCCTTATTACTTGTATTACGTAATTAAGTATTCCTGAAGTACTCGGGTACTTGACTCGCAATACTTGCCTGCATTTCCTTAATAACTCCAAAGAAATTCATCATTTTCTATTTGTCACTAGTATTTGTTTGTAAGTATTTGACATTTAATTTCGCCTGCAGGATT